AGCCCTTCCCGCCTTTCCCGTCTGAAACCCACCTGTCAGACAAGCAGCCCAGCCCTGTCCGGCTGTGCCATGCCGACGCTGTCACGCACGACACGGCATGGCCTTTGCCTTTCGCATCCCCCGAGGCCACGCCGTTTTTCACCATCAGCGTCAGCAGGGCCCCTATGCATCCTACCGTCCGTGACCGGCCCATCCAACGCCCGCCGCGAGTTTACGCCGCGCACCCGGCGCTGCTACTCGGGCGCTGCCCGTGCCTGACCAGTGACCACTGACCACTGGCCACTGACCTAGGCAAGCGGCCGCTGGTCCACGCGCGGTCGCTCTCGGCTAGAGTAGACGCCACCGCGTTCCCGAGCGAGAAGTCGCCTCGCCTCGTCTCCCCCCCCTCACAACCACCACCCGAAGCCGCGTGGAGCCCTCATCCAGATCGGAGCCAGCGCGCCGGGTGATGCCGTTCCGGCCGCGACAGTAGCTGCCTTGCCCCCCCGACCCAGGAGCCATGGCGGAGGATGGCGAGGAGAAGCTGCTCGCGACGGTGCAGCACATCGTGCAGACGCTGGGGAGCAGCGACACCATGACGGAGGACATCCTCAAGGTCTTCTCCAACTACGACGGCCGCCTCTCGCTCGACAAGCTCTACGCCGCGCGCACCGCGGCGGCGGCGGCCGCTGCGTCCGGTGGTGGCGGAGGAGGCGGAGGGGGAGGAGTCGTAGGGGAGCGCTCGATGACGACGTCGCCGCCGCTGCCCCCGCCGCCCGCGGCGGTGTCGGCCGCGGGGCCGAGGCCGCCGATCACGTCGATGGAGCGAACCGTGCGCGCGCTGGACCGCCAGATCTCGCAGTTCGTGGCCATGGATCGGCTGATTTGGGCGGACTCCGCCGACGCGGACGCGTTCCTGGAGGCGGTCGACGATCTCATCGGCACCGTGCAGGAGCTGGACGCCGCGGGGACCAACCGCGCCCTGCTCGACCGCGCCGACGAGCTGCTCAGCCGGTGCATGGCGCGGCTGGAGGACGAGTTCAGGGCGCTCATAGAGCGCCCCGACGACGCCGCCCCCGTGGTGCCGGGCGGGTTCGGGTCGGACGGGAGCGACGACGACGACGACTTCGGAGGCGGGGACGGCTACGGCGACGAGCCGATCCCGATCGCCAAGCCGGTGACGGACTATGACGTCGTGATCGACGCTCTCTCGCCGGGGTCCATCGCCAACGTGCACCAGATCGCCAGGAGGATGGTGGACGCCGGCTTCGGCCGCGAGTGCGCTGAGGCCTACGCCGCGGCGCGCCGCAGCTTTGTCGACGAGAGCGTTGCGCGCCTCGGCGTCCGTTCCCGCACCGCCGAGGAGGTTCATGCCTCACCCTGGGAGGAGCTTGAGTTCGACATCGCCCGCTGGATCCCGGCCTTCAACATGGTGTTTCGCATCCTGATTCCCAGTGAGCGCCGCCTATGTGACCGCGTTTTCGACGGCCTCGCCCCCTTCGGCGACCTTGCCTTCATCGCCGCCGTGCGTACCCAGGCTCTGCAGCTTATATCGTTCGGTGACGCTATCTCTTCGTCAAGCCGCGCGCCGGAGCGCCTCTTCCGCGTCGTTGACATGTACGAGGCTGTGCGTGACATTCTCCCTGACCTTGATCCTGTGTTCTCTGACCCATACTCTGCTGCACTCCGTGCGGAGGTCTCTGCGATGTGCAACACATTGGGGTCCTCTATCAAAAGTATATTTATGGAGTTGGAAAATCTCATCCGCCGTGACCCTGCCCGAGTTGCTGCCCAAGGTGGCGTCATACATCCTATCACTCGGTATGTTATGAACTATCTCCGTGCTGCGTGTGGGTCGCGGCAGACATTGGAAGAGGTGATGGAAGGTGACTTTGGTGCTAATGGAGGTGCCCCTGTGGCTGTTGATCCTGACCGCCCCACATCATCCCTTGCTGTGCACATCGCGTGGATCATGGATGTTCTTCAAAAGAATTTGGAGACGAAGTCTAAGATATACCGTGATCCATCTCTTGCTTCTATCTTCTTGATGAATAATGGCAAGTACATCATACAGAAGGTGAATGACAGTGAGTTGGGTGTTTTACTCGGTGATGAGTGGATCAAGCAGATGACAACTAGAGTTCGCCGCTGGAGCATGGATTATCAGCGAACAACATGGGGCAAGGTTACATCTGTGCTGCAGACTGGTAGTCCAGGCATGGGTGGACTCCCAGCCAAGGCAATGCTGCAGAAACTGCGAATGTTTAATACATACTTCGGGGAGATCTATGCGGCACAGTCAGAATGGGTGATAGCAGATGACCAGCTAAGGGTGGACATTAGGGCAGCAGTGGAGGAGACAGTGATGCCAGTTTACGCCTCATTAATTGCCAAGTTGAAGTCTTCTCCTGAAACTGGGCGTGATTTATTCATCAAATATACTCCCGAGGATGTTGTAGCCCATATCCAGCACTTGTTTGAAGGAGCAGCAAAGTGATAAATGATATGCAGCTTTGTAGCCTGTTATACTGCAGGTTCTGCCCTTCTGAACTTGTGAAATGCTATCATGGATTCTCCATTCGTGGTTAATGTCTTGTACTCACATATGGTGATGCTGTTGTCTCAAATTACAACTGTGCATCGCTGTTTTTGTCCTCCATGAGGAAGTCATGCAGTTTGGCAAATGTTGTATATGTGTGTAGGTGTGTCTGTATCAATGAGTAGCATGATTATTTTGTAACAATGTTAGGATTCCATTTCTGTTTCAAGCACTACTTTAATTTAACCCCATTAAGTGTTATGTGTGGATTTCAATATTTAATTCAATAAGTTTGTGCTCAAGTTTTTGAATTAGTTTTTCCTGTGATAACTTTTGTGGATGATCCAACTCTATGATGGCTAGAGTATCTGCAGCTCAAAATGGACATCATACCATGAAAGATGAAACCGCGTCGCAGGCCACAACATTTCCTTCTGTTATATATATGGAAGAAGTGATGAATTGCTGTTTCACCAGGTGAGGCTGAAGAAAGGTTGTTACCCGTTATACCTTTTGAAAATTCATCACTGCTAGCTTATATGAATTATGAAATAAAAATTAAAGCTTCACAGTGAATAGATTATGCATAAATGTCCAGTCATGTTAACACAATAGGTTGATTTTTAGGCAAGTATCTGGTGCTGTTACAAATCACGAATATCCTGCACAACTGACTGCTATTTGACATTGCTCTTTCCTTTCTTTCTGAATCAGCAGGAGAAAACATGTCATTTCAGTTTCTATGTTCAATAATCTGTAACTTTTACCACCCTACTGAAGTTATGAGTAACCAACCAATTAATGATGTCTGTAGTTCAGTTATGACATTTCAGTGTTTATGTCCCCAGGCCATGATACTTCCTTGTTGAGATATGCAATGCAATGATATATATAATGGTTAGGGATGAAATGTTTAGAAGCAATTCATGGTTTTTGTTTGCTTTAAAGATCAAACATGCCTCCACCAGAAACAGGGAGCTTTTAAGGCGAATTTTATCTACTTTCTTATCAGACATGGTTCCACCATTCTCATTAGTCCCTCGTACTAAAAAGCTCATGCATAAATATGATATGCAAGTTATTTTACCATGAAATAGATAAAATGCAGAACTTAAAAACTAAAAAGTGTGTAGTTCTGCTCTCAGCAGAGTGCTGTAGAAGGCTGTGTGCAGCCATCAGAATCTAATTGTCTGATGAGTGATGTGGTTCTCTGTCTGGTTGCTTTGCTATTTATGCTGATGGCTCCTGCAAATCAGGGGTGGATTTACTGTTGCATGCGTAATCTGGATCTTGCCACTGCTTCAATGAAGCCCGATGATTCACTGCATGCAGGTTCTGGTTATCATTCATATTCCATTGTACAGTATTTTGATGATAAGCAACGTAAGATACATCGTCAAGAAAAATGATGAATGTTGACATGAGGTCTTTGTTGTGCTATTTGGTGAGAATATACAGTAAAAGAAGCATTGACAAAGGTTGTACTGGTTAATATTACTCGCTTTCTACTGTTTGGGGGCCAGATAATTAAGCAAAAATCTCCCAAGGAGTTTCTGTTGTAATAGGGATGATGGTTTTGCTGCAGCAGAGGTTATTGGACACTGGCATTTCAAACATTTCGGCAATAAGGTATACCATCCGAAGAGGCTCTGGGTCTGCTTGGTTCGCTTCCAAAATATGCAAGCTAAAGATTTGGTAAGCCATGATTTTAGCTGTTATTTAGTTTGCTACCAAAGCCTGCCAACCTTTCACACTTGGCTTGTCAAATCTATGGCAATTTTTTTGTCCAACTTTTACTTGACAAATCTTTGGCATGACAAATTTTTTGTCACAAACCAAGCAAGCCCTCTGTCTGGTTTTACTTGAGGTACATTCAACTGATGAACTGTAGATAAAACGAGATTTCAAAATGTCACTTGTTTAACATATTCAGGGTCATTTTGTCATTTGGGTTAATCTTTATTTTTATTTTATGTATGTAGTATTATATTGCTGCATTGCATAACTAGGCGCAGGACAAAAAATCTGCTTATGATTAGTTGATACAGTAGCATACTAGCATACCTTGATTCTAAACTACAACGATCTCGACTGTCAAACTTCTATTGGGATGCATTTGGATTGTCCATGTCTACATCACCCTTGTATATCCTTTCAGCATTACTAATGTTATGTTAATGGTTTTTTCTTTACCATGAATTGGGTTCTATGAAGTATAATAGGTGCTGATGCAAGGTTTCCTCTAGGGAATGCTTTTTCGTGATTTGTGCAGTGCAGCTCATGCTACTATACTTAACAGAACAGTAAAAATCTTCACTGGAATGATAACTATCTTGCTAATCCTGAACTGTACACGGCATCTCCAAAGAACAATCTGAAGATCTATTTGAACCAGGTCCTAGAAGCTAAAGGGGTCAATCCGTGAATGTATCAATTCTATGACGCAGAGGTAAGATGACATACAGGGTTGTTTACCGCGGTCCTATCGCTTGGACATGCTAGATTCCGCCGTCGACATGGTTCGCGGCTGCTGCGGCGGCGGCAGTGCACCGTGCCACTGGTCCTGGGCTCCGGGCACAGCGGCGTTCAGGCCAGCCTGGTCCTGCTGCTTCATGATGACCACCGAGTAGGGCGTGTCGAAGTCAGAGGACGCCAGGAGGTCGCCAATGACGCCAAGCTCGGGGCACTCGCTCCAGTCCGACAGCCCGTTGGCCAGCATCACCGGGTACCACCTGTGCCTCATGCCAACGATGACTAGGTCGTAGCCGGCCTTGTCGAGACCCCTCAGCACCTCGACGATCTTCTCCATGTCGCCGACGAGCTCCTCCCGGACTTGCATGTTCCTGCTCCTCGCCGCGAGCGCCTTCACCTCCTCGATGGCGCGGTTATCCACCCGCCGATCGGCACGATCGCAACTGTCACGCCCGGGTGGCGCGTAGGACATGGCCTCGCGGTCGTCGCCGCCGCCGAAGAAGAGCGCCGCCACGGCAGCGTGGAACTGGGGCCCGCTCATCGAGAGGCCACTGCTCCCCGTGGAAGAGCCTGAGTAGTCTTGTAGCGGCCCGGGAATGAAATTGGACAGCCCCACCACGCCCCGGCGTTGTGGTTGGCGAACACAGCGACCGAGCACGGCGCGACCTCAAGCAACTTGCGGTTGGCGACACGGAGCCCAACCGAGGGCGCACGCGCCGCCGGCGAGCAAGTGGTGCTTATGGTAGTGGAGGAGGATCAGCGACGTTTCGCTTCTCAACGGCGCAGGCGGCACACCTCGTCGTGCATGGAGGAATACGGGAGATGGTGAGCGGGTGCACGAGACCGCGCCCTCCGGGTGCGGAGCTCGTGCCGGAAGAAGGCGTTGATGATGCGGTCGAAGTCGGTGGACGGCGCGTTAGGGCGCCGATCCGAGAGCGTTGCGGCGGGGTTGTCGCGGGATGAACACCGGCGCGGAGCGGCTCGCGATCTCGATGAGTGGAGGAGGTAGAGGCCGATGGGCGTCGGGGCATGGCGTCTGCGACGCCGAGCAACGCGAAGCGCCCGGGGCGTGGGACTCGTCGTGGAGGCACGCCAGATGCGCAGTCGGCGTCCGGCTTGAGGTGTTGCAAGGTGTGCGCCGCTTGTAGACGGCGTAGTGCCACGCCGCGCCGTACAGCAATCCCGCCACCGGCACCGACACCACCGTGATCGCCACCGACGAGCATATCAGGACGCTAAAGTGTTACTATCCTTGAATCATCTAGCGATCGATCTAGAGGGTAGACATCAAGAGCGGTGAACAACAACAACGATGTAGACCTAGAATGCTATCTAGAGGAAGGAGAAGGTGTCGAACCGAGATCCCAGAGGAGTGGATCCAGAGGCCTCCATCAGCTTCGTCGGTGAAGTCTGCTCACGAGCAGCGACGGTCGGTGAAGAGAGGCGACGCAGTGGAGACGGTGATGCAGTGCAGTGGCGACGGGATGACGGTGATGACGGTGGCGGCTTCCCGTCGCTGGCTGCGCACCCTCTTCGAGATCGGAATTAGGGTTTGTCGGTGGGGTTTGCGGCTCACGGCGAACCTCGTGCTTTGAGCCGCCGGCCCCCACCTCTTTATATAGCGCAGTGCGACGGGGGCCCACCAATCATGTAGGGTTGGGCGCCCCCGATCAGGGCGCGTGACCAAGGCCCAATAGGCCGTTGGGCTTATTGGTTAGGAGATCAATCTAACATGAAGGGGTTCTTGCCGATCAACTGCAAACGGAACCGATCAAAGAATGTAAGAATGCAAAGTCGGTTAGTGGTTGCATTAGATGCTTCCATCTGCAGAGCTGTTGCATTAGCGATCACCTTGTTGGTGAGGAAGAAGGTGAAGGTGATGACCTCAACGATGCCCTTGGAGCTCATGAACAAGCTGAGGGACATGGTGTCCCGGAGGGGGATCTCAAGGAACAGCGACGGCACCATGACGCCGACCAGCTTGCCAAACCATCCGAGGAGCACGACTAGCTGCAGCCTGCCCCAATGCAGGGACCACACATCGGTGCTGAGCCCGGTCATGTCGTAGTACAGAGGCAGAATCAGGCCGGACACCATGGCGTCAATCTTCTCCCCCAGCGCGGTGCCGAGCGGCGGTCCATCGGGGATTGCCAGCCCCAACATCAGCGCGCCGTGGAACGAGTTGGTCCCGATGACGTCGCTGTAGAACCCGACGAGGAGCACGATGAGGAGGAAAAAGAAGACGTAGTTCTCGTCCACGGGTTTGCCCGGCGGCGTGCGCTCGATCACCTTGAGCGCGACCGGGCGCACCGCGAACAGTATGACCGCGCCGAGCGCGGCCACCGAGAGGAACGCCCAGAGCGACGTCACCGCCGACACGAGGAACGCCTCGGCGAGGATGTACCCCACCATGATGAGCCACGCGATGCCGTCGGTGGTCATGGAGGCCGACATGGCGGTGCGGCCGAGGTCGGAGTTGAGGAGGCTGAGCTCCGACAGGATCGGCGACAGCACCGCGAAGGACGTGACCGAGAGCGACGTGGCCAGCGCGAACAGGAACGTAGAACGCCTCGTTACGTCGGGCTCCGAGACCATGGTGGCGCCGGATAAGCCCGCGGTGGTCATGGCCAGCGGGAGGATGAAGCCGGAAAGGCCGATGATCACGCCCTTCTTGCCGGAGCGGACGACGAGCATCGGGTCCATCCGCACGCCGATGAGGAAGATGACGTACATGAGCCCGAACGTCGCGACGGTGTGCAGCACCGGGTCGCCCCTCGCCGGGAACACCATCTCCTCGAACGCCGGACTGCGTGACAGCATGGACGGGCCGAGTATGATGCCGCCCTGAAACACATCAAATGGAGCAGCGCGTATGTTTCAGTTGATTTGCGCCAAAAGCTTTCAATCAAGCTGATGAAAAACGTTCATGGCGTCGCTGCAAAGTACAAACTAGGATGGACGTGCCATGATCTCGGACACGACGCGGGGCTGCTTGAACGGCTTGAGAAGGAAGTAGAGGACGCAGGTGATGGCGACGATGAGGACGAGCTGCACGCCGAGCAGCGGCAGCGACTCCTGCAGTGGGCTGCCTCCCTGGAAGATGTTCCGCCCGGTGCCCGTGGTCTGCGGGACCACGTAGCAGTTGATGCCGTCGTCCATCGTCCCTGCGTCTCTGCCGGCGCCGAGTATTGCCCTGCACCCCTCTCGTCGTCAGGCTGTGTCTTCCATGGTGGTTTGCACGGTGGAGTGGAGATGGAGCGAGAGACAGAGAAGGGGAGAGGAATGAACGACATGTCAAAAAAGTTTTAAAACTTCATAGCCTCGAGATTTTATCGAGCTCTGCTTGTTCGGTAGAATTTCTGTGGCTGGAAAGCAGTAGCCTTATAAATTTTGCGAGAAAGATGGGTTTTGCGATAAATATGGGTGCGTCGTGAGTTCAGGTCTTCAGGAATAGTAAATCTAAAATTGGATTGGGGCACCCATAAACCCATTGAGGGTAGGATTGGAGCATTGTGTACCGTGTTCTTTGAGTATAGATTTGAAACACGGTTCAGAGTAAATGTAAAAAATTTCAGCCTACGCTGATGCCATAAAAAAGGTTGCTAGGTATTACCAATTACCCAATCTGCATTTCACGACATGAGGTGCGTTAGTAAATTCCATAATAACCCGGAACAAAAGGTTACTATGCATCTCTAATCCTGTACAGCATTCCACCTACAGATCACTACAGTCCAGCTTCCAGCTAACCGAACAAAAGATTATGTCTATCACTAATAATGCACCACTTGGGAACTTTTAAGCCATCCAGAAACTGTCCATCACAGTCGTGAATTCTGCTACGTACACACACAAAAAAAAATACACCCCGTCTGCCGCACGCGTGACTCCCCCTCTCCCCCGACGCCTCCCTCTTCCACAGACGCGGCTCCTCCACCCCCCACGCGCGCGCGACTCCTCACTCTCCTCTCCCACTAGGCCGCCGGCCGCCAGGCACCGCGGCAACCAAGGCCGCCCAGCGCGGCCAGAGACGAGAAGTCCTCGCTGCCAGCCACGAACGCTTCAGCGGCATCAGCTCCTCCGTCGCTGTCGGCGGCGGCTAGGGTTAGGGTTTCGGGCAACGGGGAGCAGGCCTCCGAATCCGACAGCGGCAGGCCCGGTCACGGCGTGGACAAACAATCCATGGGCAGGCCCAAGCGCTGGGGCCGTCGGCCGCCAGACCGGGCAGCAGAGCCGCGGGCGCCGCCGCGTCGCGCGGGCTCAGCGCTGCTGGGCTGGATGGATGCACTTCAGCCAGTCGCAGGCTTGCTTGCCTGCTCTTCCTCCTCTCCGGCCGCCCCTAGAAAAATCTCACCATTCGAGAAGCCCAGTGCCATGGTCAAGAAGGTCCGTGCGGAGTTGCAGCTCGAGGGACAGGGCACCACGGTCCTGACACCGGCAGATAAGTAAAAGCCAGCCAAGTCCCAATTTCGTTTGTGCTGATCCTCAATTGAGCATTGACTTCTCCTCGGCACCTTGAGCATGCAGGGATGAGCTCAAGAACCTGGACTCGATTCCTCCTGCTCGGCGAGTTCTCAGGTACGCGGAGAGGAACGTCGGCTTGTTTTTGCCCAAAATTCCAGTCTTTGCAAATTAAATGCTTGTCTTCGACTTGGCTCTAAATATTGCTCACCCTCTCAGTTGATTCGTCTTGCATTCCCAAAGCCTGCTTGTTTCCCTGACCACCCCCAAAAAGGATTCACCGTGAGCTGTTCCTTAAAATGTCCACTTCTGAATATTTCCTATAGCGGATTCTTGCTTTTTATCTCTATCAATCAAGCTTCCTGTATTAGCTCGTCCAGCTCATGTGCTCATTTATCATGTATTCATTTAAGATCTCGACTCAGACTGATTTACATTGGGTTCTCCTTGTGGTTTAGAATTTTAGTTTTTTTCCTCCTTTTTCAGTAGCATCCCTATGGTGAAGATCCAGGAGCTACATCAGCTCAGAGGCGTGTAGAATGGTGTGGCCTGTGAAGATTTGTTTAATTATAGATGACTGAACATTCTCTATCGTTGGTTAATACAATCTCTAAGTTCTAATGAACTAATCTAGCAGCAGCCGTAATACTCCTAGAAAATTGACATGTATAATGTTTTTTCTTACCTGAAACAATTATATTGCTTTTTTCTACAATGTAATTTGGTTGTTTTAGTATGCATATATTTCAGTTTTAGTATGTATATACCTGAATGTTGTTTTGTGGATTATTCGTTAAAAGTACCATTCACACGCATCATATACACCTGTATAATTGCGAGAAACTGCAAATGTGCGAAAGCTTATCCAGAGGTCCACGCAATTGCTATGGCAAAATAGGTGGATCAGTGGCATATAGACTTCAGTATCTTTAGATATTCTTGCTTGAATATTTTAAATTTTTTTATCTTTAGGATTTTGCACCGACTGACTGAGCGTGTGTGTGTGCTATTGGAATTCCATTCAGCGTGTTGAGAAGTCCCCAGTGGTCTGAAATGGTAGCAGCCATAAACAGAGCACCTATGGGATACAAATGGTCATCAAGTGAGAAGGCAAGAACCACTCTTCTAGATGCATGCAAGAGAAACATGGAGCAAGACCTAGCGCGAGTTACAAATACATGGTACGCAGTGATTTTATACTTTGTCATCTTCTTTTCATTACAAGTAAATAATTGTAGAAGCTAAAAACTATTTTGCTTTCAATCTTTAAAAATTTCGAATTATGTTTTCCTAGGTCCATAAACATATTTTTTATTCACCATGGGTAGTGCGTAATGTGAATATGATGTTTAAGGATTTAGCCAATGCACTTCCTTGGATGGAGACAGCATGCAAGGTTGGTAAAGCTGTAGTGACATTTGTTCTGAACCTTGTAGTGACGCTTGTTCTGAACCACCAACATGGCCTAGCAATTGCGCCGGAAGGCTTTGGAGGAGGATGTGGTCAATGATCCTCTAATTAACGAGCCCGGCTCATCATCGACACATGGTTCAGCCATGAACCGTGCAGTAACTAATGCTATGGCTATGAGTATTAGATAACCATCACGACACATGGTTCAGCCATGACTATGAGTTTCAGATAATTAATCTGACATTTATCAATCTGAGAGTTACAGAATATCAGGTAAGTAATGTGGTATATTTCTGTTGGCCCTTGCATTTATCGAAGATTATACCATCTGATTCTAAAGATATATGAAAGTTTTTTTATGTCTTTTGAATAAAATTCCTGTTCTCGCAATTATTGATCTAACCCAAGTTCCTTACAGGTGTTGGCATTTGAAGCTGGTGGTATAACACAAGGGATTAGAGCATATCCGGTTCTTGTACCAGTACGTGGAAACCAAGCCTGTATTTTTGGACTCTAGGTCGTGACTCGTGAGCTATATAAATATAACTTCTGCTATCATGTAGTCCACACTACTCCCTTTGTATATGTACACTTATGCATATGACATTACCATTCTTTTTTATTGCATATGTTAATATGTTGGGAAAAATGTAGCATTGGAAAAATATATTCTAGCACATGTTTGTGGATTAATTGGTAGATAACATCACACCTATATTATGGCAGATTTGTGCAATATATGATGACCGTGCTAACAATGTGAATGCATCTTGTGTTTGTACTGAGACTAAAACCAGTGCTAATCATTCCTATTTGGTTCTATTTTTAGTGCATTACAATATTGCCAGTGAAGCTACAGTTGGTTGGAGCTAAATGGCATCCTTCCTTGGATTAACTTGAACCATGAATCAGAATGGTTGTTTACCATTTTTTTTAAAAAAAAAGTTGACTGCTTATATACTCATGCATGCATAATTGCCTCATTGTGCCTCTAGTTGAATAGTAGTAAAGCAACCATGACCATTTAAACTGAGTATTGTAGCACTAACCTCTATTTTCAATCTTTAGTAATTTGACCACCAGTTTGCAAATTTTTCTCTAAACAGAGTTTGCTGCGTCTGAAATAAACAATTGTGCTCTGTTGCAGGAAGGAGGATCATAAACTTGTTGATTTGGTTTTGTAGTTGGCAAGGAACGAGTCAAAAAAGCAAATGTATATCCCCTCCTGATATAGCCATTATCAGGTCCCGTTTCTTCTGGCAAGGCTTGCAATATTTTGTGGATTATGAACTAAGGTCAGCTTTGATGATATCTACTTCCAATTGTTCATACTCTATGTTGCTAGGGAAGTTGAATTTCTGATTTTAATACTATGTGAGGTTACTTCTTGGCTAAAGGGCATTGCTGTTTCCTTATGAAATGATAGAACCTATGGTACGGTGGATTCATTGCTTCTCACTGTATTTTCACAATATTGCATATGAAAATTTCTTTATAGAATCAATGGATTAGCTCGCTCGGGCGGCCGGCGCGGTCCCTGGCTCAGAGGCCGGCACGGGGTGGTCCAGCAAGAGGAGTGCAGTCCCCCGGTGGTCCAGCTTGAGCCAGCGAGAGGAGCGGGCGCGTGGGACGATGTGCGTGCGGTTGCCTCGCACTCTCCTTTCCTGGCGCGAGAGGAAGAAAAAAATTATTCACTTCATTGTTATTAGATTACGATAGTCGATAAAAGATTAGTTGATTCTCTTTGGTTGTTGATATCGTCGCAGCGTACAACGTTTAAATGAAGCAAGTACTTAGATATAATGTGTAATTTGCAGCAAACAAGTCTGTTGACTCTTTTCAGTCGTTGTATTTTGTGTTTGAGGGCAATGGTGGATTTAGCCTTTTAGGCCCCGTTCGGATGGTATGGTTCTGGAGGAATTTGGATGGTTTGAAGCAATTCAAGAGGAATTTATGAGAGAAAAACACTGTTCCGGATGAAAAAAGAAGCAGATCAAGCGCAAACGGGGCATTATACTAGTTTCTTGATTTGTTTGACTATGTTCTGCCGTAGCATTAGCATGGGCATTATACTAGTGAAGACAAATGTACTAATTACTGGCAGTATGTTAAGCTTGGCTAAACAATCTGAACTCTAAAGAGACTACCAGCAAAGCTAAATTCCATTATATGCCAGAACCATCAGATGCTACTGAAGTCCGCAAAGTTCCCATCTCACCCTGCCTCAGAAAGCATTTCAGTCACCCAGCGCCCACAGCGTCGAGTGAACGGCGTCGCCGTCGAAC